GGGAGTTTTAGGGAGGGAGCTGATTTGCCAGGTCTTGCCTTCTCTTTTTTCTTGTATGCTTGGAGGAATGAATGAGTAGCTTTAAAGATAATTTGTTAATTTTCAATTTGGTCAACTTTTTTACATATTTTTGGCTCTCATCATATTATTATGAGTGAAGTGTTTTTATTTGAGATGTTTAAATGGTGTTGTTTATGTTCTGATTGTGTTGATTGTATCTGTATTTGTGTTGATAACATCTGCAAGTAGTATTAGAACTGCCCATGTAATGAATGAATGAATGGCCTTAGATTGGTTATTGTAACAAGGTTCAAAATATTGAGGAATAAATATAACTTAGCTGGTTCTAAAGGGGATGCTTGAATATAAATTTTTTCCAATTTTTTTTTTTTTAACTAATCATTTTTTTTTTTTTTGACTTTATTCTAACTCAAATTAGCTCAATTTAATTATTATCTGTACAATTATATAATATCACTCAGTTAATCTTACACATTATATCAACTTTAATCTTTTTCCTATTTTTATATTAAATTAACTTTAATTATTTTATGTAAATATTATTTTAATATAAACTCAAAATTTCACTAACAAATAACCATAACATTATATTTTGTAAAAAAAAGTGAAATTACAAATAACCATAACATTATATTTTGTAAAAAAAAATTAACTGTACCAAATTAAAAAATTCAAACAAAATCGAAACATATCCCCTAAAAGATTTTTCCCACTCAAGGATTCAGTTTAGTTTAGTATTTAAGAAGAATGTTGGTTACTATTATTTGAAATTATAGTCTTATTTATATCACATTGTTGATGCCAACTGTAAAGGCTTGGCCATAAATAAGTTGGTGCCTAAACTTTTGCAGCGGAATTTGACTTTCGTGCGACAAATGTGTAGTGAAACAATTTAAATTTCAATTAATAGATTGCCACTTTTATACCCGTGAGTGACCAGTTCAAAAGACTATTTTATTTTATTTTATTTTATTTTTCTTTTATGTTGAATTGCATAGGAATGATACACAATTTGGTCCTTTTTTGTGGAAAAAGGGATTACAAGAGTCTACTTAACTGCTTATAATAAATCATCCCTCTCCCTTTAGAATTATTATGATTATCTAACAAGTAAAAATCCTTTTGGAAATGAGAAAATTACACATTCTACCACTCATATGTTAAATATTATTAAATATACGAAATTCTTAACTTAAATTGAAAATTACGAAGTTTAATTAACTAGAGCTTTTGATTTTCTCTTTCCAGATAATCATCTCTTCTCCAGCCGCCACCACCGGCTTCCAAAAGTCCTACCCTAACCACCAACACCATGTCCTGCCTAAATCTCAACAACAAATCTCCATTCAATTAAAGCCTCAAAGCAAACCGACCCGAATTTCTTCTCGAGCCTCCCGCAAATCTTCCCACCATCTATATCGGCTTTCTGGCACTAGTCAGACAGCGAGGAGGTCAACACTCGCCGGCGTCTGAAAGCCGCTAAGCCAGCAATCAGGCACGAGGAGGTCGAATTGTCCGCGACAGAGACGAGAGTCGATGACCTGACAGAGGAGCAGTCGAGAGCAGAGGTCTGAGCAATTTCCAAGCACCAGGCCACTCACGGCCGATGTGATTTTTGTGAGTGGCAGAGAGCAACAGCAGCGACTGATGACGAGAGAAGAGTCGGCGACCGGAGATCCATCAGTTGTTGGCTAGTCGAGCAGCTTTGCCGGCGGACGAGAGAGAGAGAAAAGTACATATGTCTACAATCTTGGTAAAGTAGACATATATTGTTTATCTAGTGTATAACTATTCGATTTGGATTTTGCAGTAGTGTGTATTATGTTTTATACAGTTTCAATATATGTTGTTTATCTTATGTATAACTATACGGTTAATATTACTCATATCATGTTTATCTGATGTATATATATAGTATATATGAAAAAACGTCTAATTTAGGAGCAATATCTGATCAGTTTTGATTTTTTTTTTTTTTTTACCAATCGAAAATCTTCGTTTCGTTTCAAATATGTAAAATCTCCGACACAATATGGTAAGCATCATATTTGGAAATTTCTGTTTTCTATACAAGCTTTAAAAAAAATAGAAAAGCTATTCTGAATGCGTAAGTATCGGACACATTAATTGCGTGCATAAGTTTGGAGAGGAACAGATCTCGTAGATTTGATAATACTTATCCACATAATTCCACATTTGATAAAAAAATTTGTGGAAACGTAATTTTAAAAATAAGTATGATACATGATATATGTGTGTATTCCCTTTTAGCAGTTTGGAAATAGCAAACCCACTTGTAAATTAAAAATTGTCCCCTATCCGTTTTGGTGACCTAAAAATTAGTAATGCTATATTAGAACATCTCCAATGGTGAGAATGAATTGTAGTCTAAATTGATGGTCTTTTGTCCACTTAGGTTGAATGGAAGGACATATTCCTAAATAACTCTCCAACAGTAAATGTCTAGACGCGATTTGTGTGTTTTCTTTTCTTTTGTTGTTTTAAAAAATTGTCAACAAAGAGTGACAAAATACTACTACCTCCTATTTTTAATATATATCGTTTTGAGAAGTTGCACATTAATTAAGAATATTTTTTTTGTCAATAATAACCTTATTTAATGAAGATAGAGATGAATGTTTTGAGAAAAGATAAATAGTGAATATAAAAAGGTATAATGAATTTATTAGCTAAATGATGGTAATAATGGGAAAATATGTCAAAAGATCCAAAACGACATTTATTTGGTTAATAGTTGATAAAACCAAAATAACATTTAAAAAAAATAAGAGGGAGTATATATTATACTTGTGCTGAACCATTTGTGTTTTTTTTTTTTCTTTTTCTTTTGTTGTTCTAAAAAATTGTCAAAAAAAATAAATTATACTCGTACTAAATCGTAGCTTCTCGGATCAACGCTAATATTTATACTAAATCATAGCTTCTTGGATCAACGCCAATATTTATTTTGTGAAGAGCTACTACCCACCATCCAAACTGATGTTATTTTTGGAGGGGTATTTTTTGAAGAGTATCTTTTATTCTTGATATTATTTTTGTATCGGGTATTTTTTTAAGGGTATCCATTATTCTGGTATTTATTTTTTTGAAGAGCTACCACCTACCATCCAAACCGATATTCATTAGGTATTGTTGTATCGGTATTTTTTTTCTAAAAGTGTCCTTTATTATGTATGTTAATGTATACCATTAAATTTATAATATAATTTTAGAAGTGTTTTGTTCATAAGTAATTCTCCAATGATAAATGTCTAGCTTTTTTTTTTTTTTTTTTAAAAAAAATTTATGTTCAAAGGCAAAAAAACTTGCACAAAAATGTCAGAACAAATTTGAACAAATCACAATATTTATGTACTATAAATTAATTTCGTACTGTAAGTCCATAGTGAATTTTCGAAAAGCGTATTTGAATTGCTACCACCTATGGACACCCAACTGATATTCATCAGGTATTTTTTATCATGTATTTTTAGAATAGTATCTTCACCTATTTATAAATTTTAATTTAAAATTAAATAAAAATGACTCATAAAGTCTAATGATATTCATCAGTTATTTTATTGGGTATTTTATGTATTTTTGTATCAAGTATTTTTAGCACGTTTACCTAATTATATATACTGATCATCAACTCTAAAAGGTGATATTAGTATTATTTATTAATTAAGGTGATATTCATTAGGTATTCTTTATTAAGTACAAACAAAATATTCAGTCTAGAAGACCTTTCATATGTAGAAAGACGTCCGAAAGTTTTGCGTATCTCTTATGCCAGATCATCACATGGAGAAGTAAAAGTTTTTAATGAATTTTCTGCGTAGAGAAATATACCGAGGGGAAAAAGGAAAATAAAGGAAAGATATAATTGGAACTACTATCCAGAAATTCAATTGAAAAAATAAAAAAAATGTTTTTTTCTACTTTAAATTACCCAAAAATGTCGTAGGGGAAGATGTAGACAAATTACCCTTCAAAATACTCAATCATATACATAAATGTGGTCCTTTTTTCTCATGCAGCATGCTGTCTGCAGCAATAATGAACAAGTTCTTTTCGTGACCCGAATTATGTAGCACGCTTTGGTAGGTAAAAAAATAAGTAAATGGTATGTGTTGCTAAGTGTCAAAAAGTGTTCCCATGCCAATCCTCCCCACAAGTCTTCTTAACCCTTGCCATTTTTGACAAACCCTTGAGCCTTTTAACACTGGTCGGGTCGGGTCGGGTCGAGCATGGCCAGGCTTTGTGATATTGATTGGATTATGCTAGGTCTTTGCTTTTTCGTAGTCCAATTCGACCCGACAACACTTTTTACACACTTTTTGTCGGTCATTGAGTCGTCCGAGACCGGTCCCTATAAGCAAACGCCAGTCAACCCTATACGCAGGTCGGGCTAGCATGACCAATTCTTCTCCAACTAATAGGAGACTTTCTGATACCTTCCAGAAAAAAGTAAATTGCTTATGTTGAACTTTGTATTATGCAAACATCCACAAATCATAAGGTCAGAGTAAATTGTTGGTGGTGCTCTGTTTCTTCGGATTCAACCATTTGTATCAGCCAAATACAAACTAAAAGTAAAGTAAAAAACGGGAAGATTATGAAGATAACGAGATTATGAATAATAAGCATCAATTTCCTTGTCTTTCATCTTTAGAGGAAAGATGCACACACAAACCAGAAAATCAAACACATATTTTGTCAGAACTTAATGGGTACAACACATAGAGTTCAAACATTATTGACAGGCACACAAAACTTTACAAAGCCACGACATCACTTATTCAAGAAAACCCTCCATACAAACAACAGCAGTCCAAGATTAGTATCTCACAAGAGCAACATACAAGTACGACTTGAAAGTTAAAACACTTATCTAATCACACATTTATTCACCGAAACTATACTTTATCTCGCCTATTATACAAACATCGAAATCTAACACACACCAACATACCTCTCTAATGGCTCTTCTGCACGGTTGCTAAATCCAAACTCGACCCATAAGCCTTGTCAAGAGCACCCGCGCACCAACCGTGCCCGTCATCCACAGTCGGCATCCGGACCTCCATCACCGGGCCCACGGGTCCCTGACCGCCCGGCATCACCACACCCGCAAAAACCCTCAGCTCAATCGACGCATCAATATCAAGACAGATGGCGATCTCCGGGACACCCTTTGGCGCAGGTGGTATTCCCGTAATTTTGAAGAACCCCAGGAGATTGTTCTTCTCCACCGCTTTATCGTTACCCTCGTACACGACAACCAGAGCCTCCGTCTGGTTATCATGAACTGTTGTGAAAAGCACATCCCTTTTCACCGGAACAGTCGTGTTTGGATGTATGACCGGGACAAAGGTGTTCCCGTGGGCCCGTATCCCAATCCCAAGTGAGGTCGCCTGAATCGTCAGGAGATCCAGGGTCCCGAAAGGATCATTCACTCCCGAAGCCACCGCCCCTTCCAAGGCGGCCCCACAAACCGCACCCTCAAACAGGTCGATCCCTGAGTAAATCTCTCTCCCACAAACGCCCTTCACAATTTCTTGTATCTTAGGAATATTTGAACACCCACCAACAAGAATCACATCGTTCAAGTCTTTTGCATCAGTTTTGGCATCACGTAAGCACGTCCGGATTAAATTCTCACATTCATCAAATATTTCACGATTCACTTCCTCAAACTCCTGCCGGCTGAGGACCCGACAAATTTTTCTCCCGTTCCCTAGGTCAACATTGATGCCCACATCAAGCCGTGACGAGAGCCCATGAATGGCTTCCTGGACAGCAACCCGGAGCAAACCCATCCTCCTGATCTCCTCAGGCCCACGTATCCCAAACTGCCCTTCCGGGCCCGGTGCGAGGTGGCGCATTGTTTTCACAAGCAAATCCTCGCCCCCCAACGCAACTCCCGAGAGCGCCTTTATCTGTGAGACCCCACCAGCCGTGGCAGTCACTGCCACATCGCAAAACCCAGCGCCCATGTTTACTATGACTGCAATTTTCTCACTCCCGAAATTCTCGTTTGTGTTCTGCTGCATTCGCTGTTGCTGCTGTGCGTACAGAAGGGCGACTGAGGTTGGCTCGGGCATCAGCCTCAAGACATGAAGACCTGCCATGGCGCAGGCCCGCTCGACCCTCGTTGTCTGGAACCGGCTAAAAGTGACGGGGACCGTCAGGACTGCCTTGCGTACGGGCTGGCCCAGATGGGCCTCAGCCATGGCACGTATCTCGATCAGGAGCACCGCAAGGACCTCTTCTGGGGTAGTTGACCGCCATGCATTCTGAACGAGGGTAGCCACAAATGGCCGCACACCGATGTTCAGTGTCTGGACCAAGAATGGGAGGCTCTCACCTGCACGTGCCACAGTAGAGTCCAGATCAGACCTTCCCACAAGGCGCTTGATGTTGAAAACGGTGGACCCCGACAGGACCTCTAGCTCGCCGCCTGCAGGGCGCCCGACAGTCGGGGGGCCGACGTCCCTGAAAGCGACACACGAGCGTATGGACGTGTGGCCCCGGGAGCTGCGGAGAAGCTCTACTCGGGAGTCGTGCCAGATGGCTGCGCGGCAGTGGGAGGTGCCAATGTCAATACCGATCGCAATCTCGGGGAACAGGGACGACGATTTTTCATCTCCAATGGTTTCGCTATCAGATGCCACAGTGTATGCTTGTTCAGCCATTTGCGGTACCTAACGATTTTTTGCTTTTTTTAGCTCCAGATATTCTTCAGATTTTAGCGTGGAAATGTGTACTATAAAACTTCTTTCGACTCTTCAAATCTTGAAATTTAAAGAAATGAAACTTAATGATCTTAACTACTCCTTATCGAGATTGAGCTATTCAAATGGTAAACAACATTTCTAGCCCCTCAGAGTCTTGTAGTTCATAGGCAATAGAGATCTCAAGATTCATATAATTACTTCTCAATCTCGAATAATCTTGTTTACACTCTTCAAGCTTGAAACGTCTAAAAGGAACAGCACCATGACTAATTCAATTTTTTTTATTTTTTGTGGTAGAAGCATAAGAAGTACTTCAGCAGACTACCATTGATAACATCAGCCATTTGTACAAACTACTTCTATTATAACAGTCCAAGAGAAAAGAATGTAGTTTGCAAATTGTCAACAATATAATAATACCACTCAGACATTTCAGCAAACATGTAAGGAACATCTGATGTGAACGAGAACCCTAGAATAAAAATTAACACAAATACCGAGAACAAAAAGATATATACCCTGTTTTTAACTGATAAAACCTGCATAACTCATCCAAAGAAAACAATAAACACGCACTAACAATAAAACCGGAGATGCTACAATCCCGGAACCATTCCATCGGAGATTTTAACCGTAAGATCATCATGTAACCGTCGAGAATAGTTGATCTAACGGTTACAAACCACTGACGGAATGGTTCAATAAAACATAACAGAAGGCAGGCAAAAACCAAAAAACCATAAGAAGCGACTATTGAAAACTAATTAGATCAAAGAACGAAAATGGTAACCTAAGAATCCAAAAGGAACGGCAATGGCTGCATAAATTGGACCGCTAATAAATACCAGAAGCATTGAGAATGCGATAACAGAGCTGACAGAATACCATTCATATGATTGAAGAATAAGAGAAGAAGATTAGAGAAAGCTTACTTTCACGAAATACTGCGCGTGAGATTGAGGAGAGACGAGAGGAGGTGTAGAGTTTGAAGCACAAGTGCAGAGTGTGGAGAGGAAAAGAACTATCTATACCTTCTTCACCGACTCGCATTTTCTAGACCTTCCGAGAGTTGGAGACAGTTCTGTTGAATTTCTTTTTAATCTTCTTTTTTTTCAAAACGATAGAAGGTATTATAAAACTCAAAAGAGAACAATGTTCTAATACAGACGGGGAAAACCCAATAAACAGGAAATAAAACTGGGAGGCATATCAACATGATAGCCTAGAACAACTACCAAACTATATGAACAAACCAACTATAGAGTCCATTCCACTACCAAGAGGCCTAGAATGCACATCTATAATCCAACACAAGAAATACAAAGAAAAGACTGAAAACAAACCAACTAAGATAATAAAGAAAATTCCTGCCACTCTGCAAGGGCAGATTTGATCACAAACTGAACCGGGGGGAGAGACTTCTTAAATATCCATGTATTGCGAGTCTTCCACAACCACCATAACAAATAGGTGGTGAGCTGTATTCTAAAGGAGGCAGTGGCTGTTTTTGGCAGAGAACACAGCTGAAGCCACCAGCTTTTGAAAGAATAAGAAAGATGCTGGAGACCCTCCCAAGAAACAGGTGCTAACTTCCAAAGAGTTCTGGCCCTATGGCAGTTAAGAAGAAGATGCTCGACAGTTTCTGGTTCCTCACCACAACATCTGCAGTATATATCCACATCAAGACCCTTTTTCTTCAGATTGGTAAGAACAGGCAATGCACTGTGAAGACATCTCCAAATAAACAACTTAATTTTCCCTGGAATCTTTAGGGTCCAACATCTGAGAAGAGTTTTCTGCAAACTTTGGCTAGAGGAGCTACTTTCAGGTTGATCAAGTTTAAGAACCTTCTGTTTAGCAAGAAAGTTGTAAGTGCCAGAAACTGAGAATTTGCCTGTTTTGTCCAGCCCCCAATAATATCTGTCCTTTTCCCCAGCCTTCAGAGAATTGATAGCTAAGATTGCATTGCAGTCTTCAGCAGAGAACACCTGTTGGACAAGCCATCTGTTCCATCCTGAGCCATCAGGATTCATAAGATCCTTAACAAAAATAAGGTGTCCTCTGGCCAGCTCCATCAGAATTGGATTAGTCTTTGGCAATGATGGAACCCAATTAAAATCTTCAATCCTAGTTTGCTCACCACTTCTGATTTCAGTCTTGAGCCAATTGGAAAAAATGGGAAGAGTGTCAAGCCAACTGTTCCAAAGCCAAGACCCTTTTGGATTTTTGGTTGCATGAAAGATGGAGGAGTCTGGATAGTATCTGTCTTTTAACACTTGGCTAACAAGCAAATCAGGTTGGGTAGATATTCTCCAGAGTTGCTTACATATCAATGCTTGATTAAAGAGATGAACATCATGGAAACCAATACCACCATACTGTTTGGGAATTGTCATTTTGTTCCAACTCTTCCAGTGTATGCCAGAAGATTTTTCCTCATTAGTTTTCCACCAGAAGTGAGCACACATCCTAGAGATTTCCTTACAGATGGACTGAGGCAGCACAAAACATGACATTGTGAACACAGGGAGAGCTTGTATGACAGCCTTCAGTAACACTTCCTTGCCAGCTGGAGAAAGAAGCTTTGATTTCCAGCTTTGAAGTTTCTTCTGAATGGACACCAGCAAATAATCAAAAACCTCCTTTTTAGACCTTCCAATACCAAGGGGTAATCCCAGGTATCTGGTTGATCTGTGGGATTGAACACCATGAAAGGATGAGCAAATTCTGTGTTGAATCTGTGGAGGAGTATTTTTGCTAAAAAATATAGCAGATTTCTGCAAGTTGACAGATTGGCCTGTGAAAAGCTTGTACTTTGCCAACAGATTAAGAATCACCTCAGCTTGGTCTACTCCAGCTCTGCAAAAGAGAAGGGAGTCATCTGCAAAAAGCAGATGAGAAAGAAGAGGTCCATTCCTAGAGATTTTTAAACCATGCAGCTGACCAGAATTTACAGCCTCAGTGATAAGAGCAGACAGCATCTCAGAGATAATAATGAATAAATATGGAGACAGAGGATCTCCTTGTCTGAGCCCCCTGGATGGCTTAATGTACCCACAGACAGTGCCATTAACCTTGAAAGATAGAGTAGAGGTTGAGATGCAAACAAGAACAAGTTTAACAAATTCCTTGCAGAACCCCATTTGGATCATAATCTGTTTGAGGCTGAGCCACTCCACTCGATCAAAAGCCTTCATAAGATCCAATTTAAGAGCCATAAACCAGTTTTTACCAGAATTGTGTCTATTAAGGAAGTGAAAAGCTTCTTGAGCAACAATTACATTGTCCAGTAGCTGTCTTCCTTTAAGAAAGGCTGATTGAGAATTATTAATGCAGCTATCCAGACAAGATTTGAGCCTTTTAGCAAGGATTTTGGACAACACTTTGTAAATCACAGTGCATAAACTAATAGGCCGAAACTGGTTAAGAGATTCAGGCACTTCACACTTGGGGATAAGAGAGAGGATTGTGTGGTTCCAATATTGCAAGATAGAACCCGATTGAAAGAAGCTCAAAATGGCAGAAGTGAAATCAGCTTTTATCAAATTCCAGAAATGTTGATAGAATAGGGGAGTCATACCGTCTTCTCCTGGAGCTTTGTCTGAGTTAAGTTGAAATAGAGCTTCCTTGATTTCATTCTCATCTACTGGAAGGAGGAGAGCAGTGTTCATGTCATTGGAGATAGATCGAGGAATAAGCTGGAGAATAGAGTCACCTCCAACTGATCCTTCAGTTGTGAACAGCTTGGAATAAAAGTCCTCAATGTGAGCTTCCATGTCCTTCTGAGTGTAAAATTCTTCTCCTCTTGCTGAGACAAGCCTTGAGATAGCATTCTGTCTCCTTCTTTGCTGGACATAAGCATGGAAGAACTTTGTATTGTTATCCCCATTCTTGATCCAGGTAGCTCTAGATTTCTGTTGCCAGTAGGATTCCTCAAAAAAGTGGGCTTTGTTCAGGTCTGATCTGGTAGAGGCCCATTCATCCCATTTAGTGTCTGATGTGTCTTCTCTCAGCAATTCCAACT